GATGCCCTCTGTCACCATTATTGTTCATTTTGGCTCTAGAAATTTTATTAAGAAGAATTAGGATTAACGAGGAAATTAAGGGATTGAAGATTAGGAAAGAGGTATACAAAACAAGCATTCGCTGACGATGTAGTATTGATTATGGAGGACCCACTAGAAACAGGGCAAAATTTTTTAGAAGAATTAGGCAGATATGGAGAAGTGTCAGGATTTAAATTAAATAAAACTAAAACCAAAATATTGACCAAAAATGTGACAGAAGCGCAAAAGAAAGAAATAGAGAAAACGCTGGGTTTGCAAATAGTTAAAAAAATAAAGTACCTACGAGTTTGGATAACACCAAGATGTTCAGCCTTAAAAGAGGAGAATTATGTGCCCCTGATTAAAAAAATAAAACAGGACTTGGAAAGATGGGGGAAATTGCAATTGTCACTTTTAGGCAGGATAGTTTCAATAAAGATGAATATCCTGCCCAAATTATTTTGTCTGTTCCAAACCACACCACACATTGGACAATTTTCCCCCCCCAGAATTGAACAAATTTATTAGGAAATTCATTGGGGGGGGGGGGGAACCTAGGATTTCATTTAGAATTTTACAGGAAAAAAGGAGTAGGGAGGGTTTCGGACTCCCTGATTGGGAAATATATTATAAGGCAGCTAATTTAGTATGGAATAGGGAAAGGGTCACCCTAGAAAACAAAAGGATCTTAACTCTGGAAGGCCACGACTGCAGAGAGGGTGGCACGCGTACTTATGGGATAAAGATAGGGAAAAAAAACATACTTTCACAGACACAAAATTAGGGACACACTAATACAAACCTGGATTGAGATTAGGCAGCGGCAATATATGAAAGTCCCAAAGTGGCTTTCTATAATGGAAGCCATGATATACCCCAATATGCTGGGAATGGAAAAAATGTGTAGATATAAGGGTATTTTGGATGGTGGAGGAAACCTTAAATCTAATGAGTTATTGAGAGAACATACTTATTGAGTTATTGAGAGAACATACTTACAAATAAAGTCTAGATATCAAAAATGCGATCAAATGGATTTGATAAGGTATTGATGGGAACGGAGAAAAAAATGTTGGCCAAATTATACAACTACTTATTAGAATATGATAGGGCAGAGGAGGTGGTTAAAAATCAAATGATTGCGTGGGCAAAGAACATTGGGCACAGTATAAATTTGAATGATTGGGAAATTATCTGGAACAAGAATTATAAATTGACTAGAGCAGTAGCGTACAAAGAGAACCAATATATGTTGTACAGGTGGCACTTAGCCCCTACAAGGCTAGCAAAAATTTACCCAAATACAAATCCAAACTGTTGGAAATGTGGCCACCACCGAAGCAATGAAATATTGGAAAAAGATTCAGAAATGGATACAAGAAATAATTGGAGAAGATATTGATTTGGCACCGGAAACATTTCTCCTGGGAATACTAAAAAGGACCTATGAGAAAAAAGAGAGATATCTAATTATACACATCACTACAGCTGCCAGACTAATATATGCACAATATTGGAAAGAAAAGAGATTACCACCAGAGGAGCATATAATTAGAAAAGTATTTGAATGCACGGAGATGAGTAAACTAACTCATGAGAAAAACGAGGATGAAAATTCAGACTACTATACAGTATGGGAAGGGTGGTATACATGGATGGATGATAAAATAAAAGAAGGAGTAAGGGATGGTGCGATTATTAAAAGGAATAAGTAATTTAAGAGACACCATGTATGTAACCTGTATATATGTATGAACACTGCTTAACCGATATTAGTTGAATTGTAATATTATGTAACTTAATAAAATCAAAAAAGAATTTAAAAAAAGATGTTTTTACTTAAAAAATATGAAAATGATGTGGAAAATAAAACTGAAGAAATATATTGTTAAAAGGGTAAAATGATTAATAAGGAAATAAAATATGCTAATCTGGTCTACGTTTAGAAAACAATGGATAACTAGAAATAAGTGTGAAATATGAAAATGATGTGTGTAAATTAAAGGGTTTTAATAGAATAAAGAATTATTGAAAAATATATGTGAAAGGGAGAAATAAAAGAATGAAATTAAAAAAGATTAAGATTAGGAGATTAGGGCGGATGGTAATTTTGATTATATATTAAATATAAAATAGAGATGAAAAATAGAAAAAATATAATGGCCGAAATTGAATTATAAAAATTAAATTTGGGGAAAATAAGCTGTATGAATTTTGACTCGGTCAATACTCTATTCAGAAAAAATGTATTGTAAACAGGAGAATTCATGATTTTAAAGCACAAAAGAAAAGAAGAAGAAAGAAAAATAAAAAATAAAAATAGAATGGGAGAAAGGGAGAAAGAAATGAAAGAAGAATATGTTGTATACATTTAGAATTGAAATATGAATCGAAGTAAGATATAGATGTAATGAATGTTAGAAAAAAGATGAGATTGTGATACTAATTTAGTAATATAAAATAATGGAAAACTATATGGATGTATGAATAAATTGAAATAAGTTTTAGAAATATGAATAAGTTTGATAAATGAGATGGTAATAGTTGGAATATTTTTACTTAAAATTAGAGAAATTGTAACAATTGGAATATTCTTAATTGCATTGTTTATATAATGATAAGTTTTAGAAATATGAATAAATTTAATTAGGGAAACTGTAACAATTGGAATATTTTTAAGTGCATATTTGGAATCTAATCAAAAAAGAAAAAAAGGTGAAATGATATTGTATTATGCATTAATTAGATTGTGGTGAAAGTAGAAATGATTAAGATATTGTTTGAAGAGATATAAATACAGATATTTGACAAAGTAATTGAAAATTAGAGATAAGATTCAAGGAAGTATATGGTATAGAATAATTTGGTTTATTATTATCATATAAAGAGAAAATTATTGTTATATAATTGACTGATTTTTATTAAGATATTGGATTGTATAATTTGGAATAAGATTTAAGGAAATGTATAGTATAAAACATTTTGGTTTAGTATTTTGATAAGAAATGAATGACTGTAATACTAGGAATTATGTGAGACTTTAAATTTAAGGGATTTAATATAGAGATGAAGGGAAAAATTGAATTTGATTAAGATATAGAGGTTAGGATGAAGGGTAATATTGGTCTATAAAAATAGAATAAATACTATGGCAAAAAGAGAATATATAAATTATGTTGAAATGACTAAAATTGTTTAAATTTGTGAATTGGTAAATACTCTGTTCAAAAAAAATACATTGTTTGTTTGTGTAAAAAATAAAAAAACTTCTTTTTTTAAAAAAATAAAAATGTATGTTTGTTTGTCTTTAAAATTTTTTTAAAAATTACAAAAAAAAAAAGAGAATAAAATAAGCCATGGTGGCAAGTTGATGACAGCTTTTCTCCAACAACGCATTTGGGCAAAGTAGGATTGCCAGTTGACTGGTCGATATCTATTTCACATATTAAGGAAATTCACAATAATATAAAGTGTAAAATATGAAACAGAGAAGTTATATAAGTTCTAATGTTATGACAGAAATATGACAACTATATCTGTACAGTTCAGAATCCTATAGCCACAACATGCTAACGTGTGGCATCACTAAAGTACTTACAGCACATTTAAATGCTGTCATTAGTGTAGAAGCACTGCTAGTAGACTAACAGATTCACATAGCATGCAAGAAATGAATTACACACTTTAAACTCCAGCATAAATGAAATGACAACGGCACAATATAAAAAAATGCATGTTGACATACATGATGTTGCCATAGCAACATCCTCAACTTTGTCCCTATTGTTAGGGCTTTATACATCAGTGATGAAAAACCAGCCCTACTTTTTCAGGGGGTCTGAAACATGCTCTTTCTAATGTGAATGTTTGAGATCGCTCATGAGAATGTTTTTATTATTTTGTTTAATAGAGCACAAAAAGTTGTACAAGATGGCCAAGTTTTGTTTCTCTCAACAAAATATTGCCGGAGATATTATGTCTCAAAGTTCCTGGAACCTTAGAGTCATACTGTAGAAGGCTGCGGTATAGGGGGTCAAACAAATCCCTATATCTCCACAAGTATTGTATTGGCACACGTAACACTTTACCAATGTTCATTGGGGACATGTGTGCATGTTCACACAAAATTTCATTGAAATACATGATGATCGAGGGGGGCACTTTTCTGAAATCAGACCGCTTGACATGGAATGACCCATTTATGACCCAGTTCAGAAGTTCTGATGGCTGGGTCTCCCGCAAGGTCATGTGATCATATTTCATGCACTTGGCAACTGATCTGCATTTATGACTGTTTTCATTATCCTGCAATCGTGACGACGGTTTATGACATTTTTGTCAAAAAGTGGCATTTATTTCTGGTTTCAGAAAAGTGTCTTACTTGAACAATGGGTTTGTTTAGCAACCATAGCGTTCATTTAATGTCCATGGCATCTGCTTAATAATAATTCAACAATATTTGCTTAACACTGCTGCAAAAAAGTTGTAAAATTGGATTGGTTGCATGATGACCTGCTTTACAAGTCTTGTGACTTACGACCATAAGCTCAATTACAGTTTTAAGTTGAGGACTATCTATGGTTTGTATAAAGCGATGTATCTTTGTAGGACGAAATTAGTCATTTATTACTACAAGCTTTTAAAAATATTCCTTGACATTTTGGTAGATTTTTTTGTTAAAAAAAAAAAATGCTGGAGAGATACCATAATCTAAAATAAACAACTAGAAGCATAACTATAACCCTTTACCCTTTACCTTATTTTCTTTACCCTTTACCTTATTTTCTAGTCTGAAGAACTTGACAAATAATTTTATTTCTTGGTTATATCAATCTTCATTGAGAAATGTATAAATAATTTCACAGTGTGCTTTCAACACAGAAGCATGTGCTCGTAGGATCATATAGAGTTTCAACGACTTTTTAGAGATAAAGGTATTAAAACATGATCACTGCTTTGTTTTGCTTCTTTTTATGTAGGTCAAGATTTGATCTGTGTACAGTCTGTGGATGGAATGCTTATGTTGTTTGAACAAGAAAGCTATTCGTTTGGACGTTTCCTTCCTGGCTTTCTTCTTCCTGGTCCACTGACATATAGTTCTAGAACAGATTCATTCATTACCATCTCTTCCTGTCAACAAGTTGAGAGTTACAGGTGCGTTTAGACATAATACCTGCTGCTCTTTAACATATATTTATATAAATATTTAAGAATGGTGTACATCTATGAAAATCCAAGCCTTGAATTAATTAATGCTCCAACTAGTTATTACATAATTTATGTCAGAGGTTATGTCCAAATATTCTAACAGTACTGAGTACCAGTACTCAGTACCAGTACCAGCTACTCTCAGTATTTCTTAATGCCTGAAAGTCACATTAAATTTTATGGGTTCTTTGTAGTTTCTTTGCATCACAGATATCATTTTGCATTTTCACAGAATGTCTTTTAGAAATAATCTGAAGATAAAAGAATTTTTAATGGAAAGAATATGTCTACAGAATATGTAGAAGGCACAGCTCCTACATTTTCCTTTCTTCACTATAGAGGTTTCCAGAGATCATCTTATTCTAGTGAATAAAGAGGGCTATAAGCAAAACACTCTTGAAATATTATTTCAACATAGTTCTCTCCTTTTCTGTTGCCAGCTATACCTAGCTTGCTGCCAATCCTTCCCTTAGAGAATAAAGTTTTTCTAAATTGCATGGTGAAGGGTTAAGTCTAGGGCCGTGATGGCGAACCTATGGCACGCGTGCCACAGGTGGCACATGTAGCCATATCAGTGGGCAAGCCAGCTCAGCTCTGGGGTGCATGCGCGCGCTGGCCAACTGATTTTTGGGCCTTCTGGGTCCACCAGAAGTAGGGAAACAGGCTGTTTCCTGCCTCCGGAGGGCCTGGGGTGGGGGGTGGGGGAGGCCCGTTTTTCTTTCTTACCTGGCTCCAGAACCTCTCTATTTATCTGGGAAGGTCTAAAACAGCCTTTCTCACTCCCTCGGAGGCCCTCCAAAGATCTGAAACGGCCCATTTCCCAACTCCCGGTGGGACAGGAAGTGACTTTTTTGCTGTCCCCAGCCTCCAGAGATTCTTAGAAAGGCTCCTAGAGACTCCTAGAGGGGCTCCTAGAGACTCCTAGAGGGGCTCCTAGAGACCCCTAGAGAGGCTCTGGAGGCTGGGGACGGCAAAAAACATCACTTCCTGTCCCACCGGGAGTTGGGAAATGGGCCATTTCAGGCCTTTGGAGGGCCTCCGAGGGAGTGAGAAAGGCTGTTTCACCCTTCCCAAATAGAGAGGATCTGGAGCCAGGTAAGAAAGAAAAATGGGCCTACCAGGCCATTGCATGCCAGGAGGGAGGGGAGGGGGGGTTGCGTGCTCATGCGCAAGGCAGTGTGCATAGCATTATCAGTGTGGGCACGCGCGACCCTATCCCACCCCCACCCCCTCCTGGCACGTGATGGCAAAAAGATTAGCCATCACTGGTCTAGGGATTGAAATTGAGATACATAGAGCAAGGAATATGTATTTATTTTCAATGTAATTCTGCAGAACCAGATTAATTGTATCTTTGGGTACTGAAGGAATTTGCCGATGTTTACTTTATATATTTTTGAGACATTATGAAGAAATTGGTGAAGTACAAGATGTCTGGAGGAGGGCAAAGATCGCTATAATCAGGAAAAGAAAAAAGAGAACGATAAAGAATTCAGTCTGACACCAATATTAGAAAAGATTAAAAAGCTGTAGTTCTTGAAAGCAATCAGAAATCACTATGGTTTTACTTTCTTATCAGATTTACTCTATCACATTTTTTGGATCAGGTAATTTATGTAGTAGTTTGTAGGAATTATGTAGGTGTAATACTAAGGGATCCTCCAATCAACTGACTCTGAGTGGTGTATAACTCACATTCATAATTAATTATTGAAATAAATACATAATAATAAAACCAAGATTATACATCATAATAGCACCATATAAACATTAGGAATCAAACATTCCAAAGTAAAAATAATTACTTTAGAGTAGTAGTCATACAGCCATCCCCCTGAGGCATAGTGAAGTAGCCAAGTCTCTTAAGATATAAAGATCAGGAGGGAGGGGTCATCTGTGATACTATTTCTAAGGTGTGATTTTATAACAAAAGAACATAGTTCCTTGGCTCTGTAGATGGCAATCTCAGATTGAGATGCATATAAAGAGCCCTCCCTACAACATCTTACCAAGATTCAGTATGTATATTATGCACGTTATTGAAAGAAAGTTATCCAAACCCTAAACCATGAAGCGTGTTACAGGTGATAACCAGCACTTTGAAATGCATCCTGAAACCTATGAGCAACCAACACAGCTCTCAAAATAGCAGTTTTTTAAATGTGGGATCCTTACTGTTCTCTGAGTTATAGTAAGAGGCGTTATATTAATGCCTTCTGGTAATCCACAGCTACTCAGGTTACTGCATTCTGGACTTACTTTGTCATCTTAGTGCTTTTCAAGCCTAGCCCTATATAATGGACATTGCAATAATCTTATAAAAAGTAACTAAAGCATAAATGACACTGATTAAACATTATCTTTATATTAGCCAGGCATTTGATAAAGCGCTTTGTGATAGTCTGATAGTAAGTTACTTAAAGGTGATCTAGAGGGCATAATAAATACATAGTAGGTGTGAAAATTGTACTTCAAAAAGATCATGCTAAGAAATGAGAAGCCACCAATGTTTGTTCATCAAACTGGCCTAGGCATTGAGTGAAATTTTACAAACTTTAGTCCTGATCCCAGAATTTTTCACTATTTCACTGAAGACTAAAAAAGATGAAGAAAAGTTTATCCAAATTTACAAATTAGAGAAAGTAACTATAATCCTAGAAGTTGTCTATGGAGATTCTCAGTCATCCAGGTCATGATTGTCCCAAGGGTGCTTTTTCAAGAGGCAACTGACTTTCTGATTTTTTCTTCTCATCCTAGAAGGTTCTTCAGAATGTCCAGTTGTTTCTTGAAAAATCACCTTTGGGAATTCTAAAAGATAAAAATAGAATTCAAAATGAGCTGGATCGGGATGTCAAACTCAAGGCCCGCAAGCCAGACTGGCCTGCGATATGATTCGCGAGCCGGATCTGGCCCGTGGGGATGCCCCGGAGACAGAGAAGGACAAGGTCCTGGTGCTTCAGCCCCAGCCCTGGCCGGCCAGAAGCTGATCTATAACTTGATGGCCGGGCCGGCGAGGCCATGGAGGTGCTAGTGATGGGTGTGGCGCTCATGTATAACTGGATGGCGGCCATCCAAGCCAGAGCTCAGTCAGCCTTAGATCCACGGAGCCACCCTGAAGCTGGTGAGGAACTGCTCGCCCTTGCCCTCTGGGCGCTTTACAACCTCCTGTGCGCATGCCCAGGGGGTGGGACCAAGGCAGTGGGGCAGCCCCTAGCTGGCTCCAGCATGGCCTGCAGATCTAAGGCTCACCATGTTCTGGTCTGGATGGCTGCCATCCAGTTATAGATGAGTGCCATGCCCATCACTAGAACCTCCATGGCCTCCTTGCAGCCCATGCGGCTTCCCTTCCCTCTGCCCCGCCACGTGTGAGAAAGCAGCCGCAGTAAGCACGGCCACCAGCAACACTGCCAATCTCTCCCCTTCCCCTCATCCCTTCCTGAGCACAGAGGAAGAAATGAGATGGGAATGAGAAGGAGGGAAGCAGGGAAGGAAGGAGGGGAGAGTGGGGGAAAAAGGGATTAGAGAGGGAAGAAGGAAGGAGAGAAAACTGGAGAAAGCAAGGTTTTTTTTGGGGGGGGTGGCAGCAAAAGAAGCAGCATTCCTTGACTGGGAAGCGGGCAAAGTCAGAAAGGGAAAGTAAACCTCAGTCCCCACAAACCAAGCGCAGTTCCTGCTGTTTGTGAGAAACGAAGGAAGAAAAAGGGGAGCCAAAAGCTAAATACCTGAGGTTTTCATTGTCCCTGCTGGCAGTTGATCTTTCCTGGTCTGGCTTCCCTGCTCAATTGCTTATCTTCTTTAATTCCAAAACTCCCATGGACTCGGGCAGCGATCTGCAGAAGCAGCCATGTGAGGTAGGAGGAGAGTGCAAGGTTTCCCTGGGTTTTTAAAGTCATGAGGTTTTTCTTCCTCTTTTTCCTCATTTTGCAGTGTGGCTCAAGGAGGAGGGGTGGGGTTGTCCCAAAAAGCGAGACCCCAAAATTAACAGATTGACTTTTCAAATCCTTAAAAAGTTATGATGCCAACCTTGGGTCAGTGATTCTTTTGGGAAAAAAGCAGCAGGTTGCCTTCCTCCAGGAAATGGAAGGGAAGGGAAAGAGAGAAGGAGGGAGGGAGGGAGGGAGGACGCAGGGAAGCTGGCCACGCCCACGCTGGCCATGCCCACCCAGCTCCCTGATATCAACTAAAACCCTGATGCGGCCCTCAATAAAATTGAGTTTGACACCCCTGATCTAAATGGTTGTCATCTCTTTGAGATAGACCAAATTATGAAAGTAAAAAGGAGGATATTTGGTTACATGGCATGATAACCAATAACCAGATATACACCCCCCCATTTCAATTCTAAAAAAAAAAAGGCTGGACAATCTTCTTCCTCATTCCTTCTTCCCTTCCATAGCTAAATTGCTAATAACTGTTGTATATATTCTTCAAGGCCATCTTTCAGTGGTTGGTTGCCCCCGGTTCGGACCGGTTCGCAAGAACCGGTAGTAAAACTGGCGGGAGGCTCTGCCCACCACCCTGGATGTTGTCATCGGTGATCTGCGCATGCGCGATCCCGTTGCGAACCGGTAGTAAAGGTAAGTAGAACCCACCCCTGCCATCTTTGTACTTCTCTAGGTTAATGAAATAAGCTAAAAACAACAGTCCAAAATGCAAATTTCTTCACTTTTTTTTTTTTTATTTTAAATTTGATTTATATGCCGCCCTTCTCTGGAGACTCAGGGCGGCTTTCAATGCGTTAAGCAATAGCCTTCATACTTTTGTATATTTTATACAAAGTCAGCTTATTGCCCCCACAAACTGGGTCCTCAATTTACCTACCTTAGAAAGGATGGAAGGCTGAGTCAACCTTGAGCCTGCCGAGATTCGATCTTACTTTAATTGCAGACAGCTGGTGTTAAATTACAGAGCTCTGTCTGTTGAGCTAAACCAGGCTCCTTTTAATTTCTTGGCTGCAGTCCCCATCTGTGGTGAAGACTAAATATAGTACTCTTAGACAACTGCAAATCCCAAAGGGAAGCTAAAATTGATAGTAAGTCATTTACAGAATATATATGTGATCTTGGTCTTAACCTATGGCCTTTGTTAAAATCATTATTGAAATTAAATCAAAATTAAAATCATTGAAAACCTAAAACAAAAAAGCATAAATTGCTTTGTTTTAAAAAGAGTTGTGCCTGTGGGATCCTTGGTATTCTTTGAGCTTGGTTGTTTTCTTACAGATATTTCAATATCCAAATAGGTAACATTAACCACAATAGTGGTAGGAGGGAGTGGGGTTTGCTCTCTTTTTATGTACAAGTTGGTTGCCCTTTTAGTATTGTTGGGCATATTCTTGGTAGCTCTTTGATTAGGCTATTTACTCGTTTCATTTCATTTCATTTCATACAGGTGCTTAATTTGTATTTCTAGTACTTTTTAGTGATACTAAATTTAAAGTTTAGTTACTAAATTTAGGGAGCTAAACTTAAAGTAAGAGTTATTGAAGCTCTGCTAAGTTTTAAAAGATGAAGGAATTGGGAATATATATACTTGTAAAAGTGAAAAATGTCAGCCTTCTTTAAAGGAGAAGAAATGGTATGATATAGAAATACACACACAGAAATGGTGTGATATAGATAGATTAAGCAGTGTTCTGTATCATTGCTGACTATTGGACATGGAAGAATGGATTTAAGTTCTAGAAGAATTATTCAGTTGAATATTAGAAAATGTTTCCTTAACAGTAAGAGTAGTATGATATAATAATATTCAGAATTGATGTTTTGTTCAAGAGACTAGTAAAATATTTGTTGGAATACATTAATTAGCAATGGTTTGGCCTAAATTATTTCTTCAGACTCAGTTATTTTAGAGGCTTCTAGAATTACAGCTGATAGTTAAAGTTTTACTTGCTGCAATTGTAGTTTTACTGTAATTCTAACTGTGAATGCTGCATAAGGATATCTGTTCTGCATTATTCTACTAATAATATCTTGTGAGTTATATTATTAGTAGAAATAAATATGTTATCTTATTCTGTTATTTTAATGAATTCATATTCAAGCCCTGTGTTCCAGATTTTGACTATGTAATCAATGTTAGGTGAATTTGGTAGCTTTTGAGTTTTTCTAGGAAGGTTTTCTACATTAAGTATAAATAGATGATTACATGATCAGAGTTTAAAAATTGAAGAATGCTGCTAAGATACATGTGCATGAGCTCCATTCAGTTGTCACTTATTCTCATGCCAGCAGTGATCCTGAGGTTCTGGTTTATTTTCTTTATGAAACCAGATACATTGGCAGCAAACTCAAATACTTCTTTAGTGTTCAAATCTTTATTTCATACGAACCCAAGAGATAATGCTAAATGGCTTTTGATTGCTTTTTTTGTGCAAAACCTTTCTTCAACAGGGAAACTATGCATGTTATTCCTGTTCATAGAAGAATGTGAATATTAAAGTCAAAACAGAAGCTCATTGTTTTTGAACTTTGGAAATCTATAATTTTGTATACGTATGTCAAATAGGTTTTTTGGTTGGTTTTTCCCAACTGGTTATTATTTTTAGTCTGTGCCATGAGTTTGTAGTTCAGCATACTTCAAGAGTCTCTGACCTTGTGCCAAATCTTCTTGCTCCTAGGCTTTACAAAGTAATGAAATGATACAGACATCTACATTTCCAAGGAATTTATCTATCTATCTATCTATCTATCTATCTATCTATCTATCTATCTATCTATCTATCTATCTATCATATTTCTATGCCGCCCACTCTCCGAGGACTCTGGACGGCTTACACCAAAGACAGTATACTAAATAGCATATTGCCCTCTAACAATCTGGGTCCTCATTTTACCCACCTCGGAAGAATGGAAGGCTGAGTCAACCTTGAGCCGGTGAGATTTGATCCGCTGATCTGCTGAACTAGCAGTCAGCTGAAGTAGCTGCAGTACTGCACTCTAACCACTGTGCCACCTCGGCTCTTACTATTATCTGGAATTATTATCTGGATGCTTCTGAACAACTAATATCTTTTAGTTGAGCTGTGTTGATTTGCAGTTTCTTCTAGGCAACTTTTTAATTATTTGTGAAAAGATCTACTAATTAGTCATTTGTACATAATACACAAATTCCATAGAGTATTGGTTGCTTCCTTATAATTATTCCAATGTTCATCAGTGCATTCACAGAACTCCAACAGGTACTTGTCTTTAGACAGATATTCCTTGGCTATAATTAAGGCTGGAATTTGCAAATACAAACAAGAGAAATAATGTTATGTAGTGTTCTTTTTGTATATATTCTAGTATAACATTTGTTTTGTGAAAATATTTTATATATATATATATATATATGTATGTATATTCTTCTTCTTTAAACTACAGGTATCAAGTACTTGCATTAGCAAAAGATGCTGAAACACAAGAAACTGAGCAACAAAAAATTGGATCTGGAAAAAAACTTGTGGTAAATTTAGCTGTATAGATCAGTATGCTATTTAATTAAGAAAAATAACCATGAGAGCAGGAGGAACGTGAATGTTATATGACAAGTAGAACTATTTTTTCTGATTTTGAACTGATTTTTCTTTTACAGGAGTTAATGCAAAACAACTATCTTAAGATAACAAAGATTTAGTATACAGTATATACAGGTAGTCTTCAACTTGCTACTGGTTGCTTATCAATCGTTCAAAGTTACGACAGACCCCCAAAGTTACTTATAGCCCAGTTCCAAAATTCTGATGGCTTCCCTTCCCTCTGGTTCTGCAGCTGGCTCCTATTTCGAAGCCTTTTGCAGCATCCTAAGGTCACATTATCACAATTTATGATGGTCTTGCTGAAAACAGGAGTTTATTTCCAGTTTACTGCAAACCTGGCCCATAGCAAACAGTGGGTTCATTTAATGATTGCTGCATTCACTGAACAAGTGCCACAAAAAGGTCGTAAAATAGAATTGGTCACATGATGACCTGCTTATGGCTGTAATTTGTGTGTGTGCATGTTTATATAAAATTAATTTTTTATATATTTATAAATATATAAAATACATTTAAAAATATAAAATATAACACACACAGATATATACATATACATGTATACACACACACACTTCACCTGCTTTTAATTTCAACAAAAATGCAAATATAGCACCAATGATAATTTTTTTATTGCTAATTTTTTTCTAATGCAGTATTGGAGTGCAGGAAGGATTTGTAGTGTTGTGCAGTGTAACAAGCTGGAGAGTTGCAAGTAATTTATTGCCTTTTCAGATATAAATAATCAGTGCTATTTGCTTACAACTACATCTAACTACATAGCCTAACTTTAACTCTAATCCTTTCCTGGGAATAAATTCCATTGAGCTTAATAAAGTTTTTTTGTACACAGATGTGTATAGGATTGTTCTGTAAATTAATTTATATAGTCACGATCTTCAATTCCATCATGGGGTTTATGCTGGTTTTGCTAAAAAGAGATCCTCCATATCAGTAGGGGGAAACAAGTGGCTACATTTTTACAGTTGACATAATTTTAAAAGGACCTTTTGAAATGTTGGATACTATGGAAAAAGTAAGGAAAAGTTTTATTTCATGTTATATGTACAAGGTGGGTGTATTTTGTATAATTTAATCTCATCCTGGCATGTGTTTTACCATATCCTTTTTTTGTTTTGGGAGAAGGGCTTATCTGAAACTAGAGAGTAATTAAAGAAAAAAATCAAACAAAACTGAAATGCAATATTTTAAAAATATTTCTTACAATATGCAATTTTATAGACTAGGAACAGATTAGTCTCTCATTTACCTAATGATGTGAAAACAATCTTCTGGTTTATAAAGCTTATTCTTTTTCTTAAACAAATATGATGAAATTAGTGTACGCCATTTATGGCTTTGGTGTGTGGCATTTATCTCAGATTGAAAAATAAATTTAATTCAAGGGAATTTAAGGCTGCTGTTAACATATGCTCCACAGTGCTGTATCTTGTCTCTTCATCTGTTTAAGGTGGACTGGATTTCAAACATTGGGGAACAAGCCCTGGACATATGTGTTGTTTCATTTAATCAGCTTGTTTCCGGCATATTTGTTCTTGGGGAGAGAAATTTTTTTTGCTTTAAGGATAATGGACAAATTCGGTTCATTAAAAAGCTTGACCACAGCCCAAGTTGCTTTCTTCCATACTCAGGTTTGTGAATAAAAGCAATGATTACCATTGTTATAAAGCAGTTTTACAATTTCTAATTCTAGCATATCAACCAAGATTAAACAATTGTAAATATTATTTGTCTGTAACAATATCTTTAACCTTCAGTGCTTTTTGAGTACATATAAATATTCTGTAAATTCATTACATTATAATCTATAAATATGTGTTAACTTTTAACTATTGTAGTAGGCCTTGCTCTTATTTTATTAAAATAGATGGATGTCTACATGTGAACATCAGATTCTTAAAATAGATTCAATGATGTCATTCTAAATTTAACATTTATGAACCAAATTAACACCTCTGTCCAGAGGAATGGAATGTAAACTGTGGAATTTCTTTTTCTGGGAGAATGGTTAAGCTACTCTGGTAAAATATTAGTTGTTTCAATTTCCATGATAAGCACAAAGTAAGTAGTATATGATTGTATGTCAGCCCTTCTTCCATTCCTTTGTGTCTCCAATAGGGTAATGAAGGAATTCTTTTCTCTTTGAGTAGCATAAATAACAGCCAGAAGGAAAAAGGATAGCTGAATTTGTTCCCCTACTTTTACATCATTCTATCTCTATTATCTATATCTCTGTCTCATCTGTTATCTCTTATTCCTATCTCATCTCTATCCCTACCCATCCCATCCCATCCCATCCAATCCAGTGGTGGAATTCAAATAATTTTACAATCGGTTCTCTGCCGTAATGACTAACTGGAGAAGTGTGGCTGAGTGGTCATATGACTGGGTGTGCCTGGCCAACTTGACATCACTCACGTTGAGGGATGCTTCAGTTCGCCTGGCCTCTTGTGACCATGGGGATGCTACAATGGTCGTAAGTGTGAAAAACAGTCATGTCACTTTTTTCAGTGCCATTGTAACTTTGAATGGTCACTAAATGAATTGTAAGTCAAGGATTACCTGTACAAAAATATAAAAAGCTTCTTTGCTTGCAAAAAGCTGCCCTAAATACCAATCATTAGATTAGAAATACCTGCAAGGTGGAGTTACAAATCAGGCAGGGTGCCAGAGCACCTTGAGGAATTAAAATAGTTAAAATGCAGTTATAACTACCAGCGGCCAACTCTTGCTCATAAAGTGAAACCCTTTAGCAGAGAGGTCATTTGAGCTCTCCAAAAAGAACACACCTAGGAGAAGCAATCCTTAGATCCATTTGTACCACTTAAAGATACCAACTGGTCTCACTCACCTCACAAGATATCCTAAGAAAATCATCCAGATTTAAGGAAAGATCACATGCTCCCAGAAAGGCAGTAAAAAAAAAAAAAATCAGTGCCAAGCTTGCATTCTGCCTCTTGGAAGTACACCCCAAAAGGACAGTGCCAGAACCACTAAAGCAGGGAAGGAAGATGCCCTCCCCAGATAGAAAAAGAAACTATGAGGCAGGAAAAAATTCAAACAATGCAAATAATTAAATCACAATAATTAAATTACGCTACCAGCCGATCTGGTAGCAATGACGGCTGGTGGTTCGGAGAGCTGATAGCGATGGCAGCTTGAGGCTCCGTCCACACACCCAGAATTCATTACTTCCTGGTTTTAACCAGGAAGTAACCTGGTTTTTTGAGCCTCTGCACGTGCGCAGAAGATTTTTCACATGCGCAGAGGGTCCAAGCGCTTGTGAACCCCTGGTTGGCCCAGGCCTTGCTTGCCTTCGCAAGCTGGCCATGGGGACCGCCGGGAAGGCTGCGTGGAAGGCAGGCAAGGAAGCATGTTGGGGTCGCCCAGTCACGTTGAAGGGAGCTAACTTGCCTTCTGAGGTCCAGTCCCACATCCAGCCCTTGATGGGAGACACGCCACTTCCGGCCAGCGGGTGGGCAGCTGGCCTTTGGGGGAGACGCAGCTGCAACACTGGGGCCAAGAAAGGCGGTGGTGGCGGCACTGCATGTGCAGCCCCGGGACATCCGCCCTCTCTCCCGGAGCGCCGCTGCCGCCCCAGAGCTTGCCTTCGCCTCTACAGCCCACTGGCCCCTCTTGCCTTTCTCTTTCTGGGTGCAGCGCTTCTGCTTGTTGGGCCATTTCCCCAAAGCCAGCACCTCTTTGGCCAGCTGCTTTGCTTTTTCCCTCTTAAGGCTCTTGGGAGGCTTGCGCAGCAGTTCTCCAAACTTCTTAGAAAGTTAACAACGGGTTCTAGCGAATAGGTGCAAACCAGTAGAATCACATCCCATCCCATCCAGCGGTGGGTTCTAAATTTTTTTACTACCGGTTCTGTGGGCGTGGCTTATTTTGTGGGTGTGGCTTGGAGGTCATGTGACTAGATGGGCGTGGCTAGCTGGTCAGAGTCATTTCTGGAAGGTCCTCGCACTTACGACCAGTCCTCGCACTTATGACCCGACTCATTTGTTTGCTTTTAACACTGATCAGCTGTAGGACGGCCCTTTGAAGCCCCGCGGCAAGAGTTTAAACAGTTTTTTCCCTCTAGTCATCAGCTGGGACTCAGGAGGCAGCAATAGATTGGGGGTGGGACCAAATAAAAGGTAAGAATAACGTGGGGGGATGGGGGGAGGGTGGGGGGGAGAACCGGTTTGGTGACGTCATATCGTCACCGCTACCGGCTCGGCCGAACCGGACCAAACCGGGAGGAACCCACCACTGATCCCATCCTATCTTACTGTATCCTACCCTATCTATCCTATTCATTATTTACTTGCATGTACAAAATTCCTGGTCACCTATAGCAATTAAGTAAATTGTTAAAATGGAATACTAAAGCAGGCAATTTTTAAAAATAATTTTATTCATCATTTTTTCTTTAGCATCTATAAACAAGTATAGAGGCTAAACAAAGTATTGTCTGGGTCAATATGTTTTACAGTAATAATAATAGTAATATTTTTTTAGATATACATAATCATAATCTTTCAACTTCCAATATTTGTGTATACATAGTAGTTATGATGTATTTTATTCTATATCAGTATACATAATCCTATTTTCTCAATTTTTAATTTATTACTCTATTACTTCTTTTTTCTACCTCTTAATAAAATAGCCCTCCTATTAGGCAGCATTCTATATCTATCCATCATCTCTTGTCCTTTTTAGAATTTCAACTCAATGATTTTTTGGTAAATCTTCCATGTTTCTCTCTTGGGATCTTGTAGCTCCTTAGCTCACATTTATTTAATCTTAATATTTCATTTGCCACAACATCTGTCTCTTATTGTTGAATCTCTAGAGTACCCATCCGTAGTTCTTTCATCATTTTTAAGAGAACTTTCTCTTTATTCTCTTCTATATTTTGAGCTCTTAGAGTGTAATCTGTCTGTTCTGTTTTAAATGTTATTGCTATCTCTTCCATATCTTTCTCCATTTGTGTCATTTTTGGCGTTATCTCTTCTATTTTTTCCTCAGCTTCTTCTGGTTTCTCCTCTATTTTCTGAATTTTTTGTTCATCTTTTATTATCATTTGCTGGGTTTTTTTAAGTCTCACATCTTTATCCCACATTAATTCCATCATCTCCCTATGATTCCTTGTCATATCTTCCTGAATGCATTGAAACAATAATATTTCTTTATAAACCATATTTGTTTTCTCCTGTTGAAACATCTTATACTCATTTAACGAGTTAATAGTAATTCAATATTCCACCAAGATTCCAATATCCCAATTGCCCAAAAATACCAATGTTAATAGAATTTACACAGTCCCGAAATCGTTTCTCAGAATCCTCTAAATTTATAGTCCTTGGAGTTTTCCACTTTACATCCTCTAAATTTCCCAAATTTTAAAGTCTTGTTTAATCTTCCTTCTTTCCTTTTCACCTCGTAGAGTGTTCTATCAAATAATCTTAATAATCCAAATTGGCCCACCAAATTTCCACAATGCACAGAGTCAAATATTCAATTTCAAAGATGCTACTTGTTAGTTTGTAATCCACCTTGCCTTAGAAATGTTCAAAACACTCACTCAGCACTTCCAAGCCGCTAGAACACCAGTAAATATGAAACTAAAATAAAAAGGCCTTCCAGGTGTTTTTTGCCTTTCACTATGTCCTCTGTTCTCTTTATTTTTCTTATATTATCACTCATTGTCAAGGTCATTTCTCAGTGTGTTCTAGTGTAATATCTTCTTTTGCCAGTAGGTGGCACTCCCTCTCAAGGTTCCAACATTAAACAGCTGACTGTCAGAAAAGAAATTTGAGGGGGAAAAAACCAGATTTCTTTTTACGATTTCTTCCAATAATCATTGTTATCCACAATTTAAGTCATTTTACATAGTACTACCAGTTCCAGTCCAAGCTTTCCATTTTAAAGCTTCAGAATCAAAAGTTTATTTCACTTTTGGGCATAATCTTTCTCTGTGTATTAAATAGCCATTTCTTAATTTTGGAGAATCTTTTTTTTAAAAAAATGCTTTCATTTGGGTTTAAGTCTCTAGTATAGAAGTTGAAAGTTGTCTCACCCAGTTTCAATCCTCTGTCCACAAACTGCTCCAGCTCATTTATTTATTTATTTATTAAATTTCTATACCGCCGTTCTCCAAAAAGGACTCAGGGCGGTGCACAGCCAAAGTAAAATCAGAGCATACAAAATTTAAAAACAATAATTAAAATAATTAAATATTCTGGCCGTAAATTAAAACAACCCAATTTAAAATCAATTTAAAATTAAACTCAAGCCAGCCCAGCTAGTTGAAATAAATAGGTTTTCATGGCCCGACGAAAAATCCGGAGGTCTGTTATTGTACGTAACTCTGGGGCTCATAATCTTCTTGTCCTGGTTATCATACCTTCAGTCTTGCCAAAATGGCCGTCGTCTCTGTTGCCAATCTGGAGGGTTTCTTTGGATCAAACAAGGAAATTGCTGTTTACTTGTGATCCACAAAGTGTCCCTCCTTTCTTCACCACCTCTTCAGGGTGGCTTTGGCCTGCCAGGGTCTCCTGGCAGGCAAGTATCGGCTGGGTTTTGTAAAGCTCCGCAGAGCTCCACTATCCCATATCCATACTGTTGCGATGCCAACCAGTGAATCCAAGTGGGGCATTTTTAAAGGGTTATTATAAATAAGGTGGGGTTGTATTTGTTTATGATGTTCTACATTTCTTTTAGTAATATATTAGTAATTTTATCCATTCTGAGGGGGGGTGGTTTAAATTGTTAAATTGAAACTGAGAAATTATATGTTTTTATTACAAAAAGTGTAACATATCTCATTGTTACAAACTTTTTGTTACAGACATATTTTACTATTCCTTTCTAGTTTATTATCTGAGACTACAATAGCCTCACAAAATTTGATCTTACTTGTAAAAATATAGTCTTGACATTTCTAGGAGTTATCCTTATTTGTACATTTATTTTACATATATTGGTGTAACTATAAGAATGTCTCTTAAAGGAAGAAAAATAGTTAAGAAGAATATGAACGTAACATCTTTCCCAAACTCTACATATGTTGTAGTGTCTGGGACTGCCATAAACACACTGATTGGAAATCACAACGGTATCCTACATATTTATCAAGACATGACTCTAAAATGGGCAACTCAGCTTCCTCATATTCCTGTGGCAGCAAGACTGGGCAAATTACTGTAAGTAGTCTTACCAAAATTTTAGCTTAGAATGGTCTGTGTCTGTGTGTATTTCCTAAAATAAAATTTGATTTTAATTTAATTGTCCTGATTGGCTTGTCAGCTGTACTGCTTGTTCAGATGAATTATAATCAGAGAAAGCTTTTATCATAATAAATTTGTTACTATTTGAATTATACATATCATGTATAATTTATGTATAACTGAATTTCTTTCAGTTCAGTTAATTTATTGAAACAATTTTATTACAATGTACATTTTAGGATTGTGAATAATACTGATAGTCATAACATATTTTTGTTGTATTCTATTCTATTTTATTCTATTCTATTTTTCAAGGAGTTAAAAGTAGAACCCATTACATTCCTTTTTCTGATATTTTTCTTATAGCAATAATTCTGGAGACTGGTAGGATTGAGAGTAGTGAGGCCACGTGAGCTTCCATAGCTGAGGATGGAGTTGAACATGTATCTCTCCAGTCACTCCAACATCTTAGTGTTAACCAACATTGTTGACCAAATATTGCTGCATGCTTTGGAAAGGATTTTTTTATTAGTTATCTAGCTGAACACATCAGTGCCCACACTCATATAAAACACTTTTTGAATGGATTCATTTTACTATCATCGTGGAAAAGTAATTGTTATCTAATTTTTGATGTATTGAATATAGTCCACATTTGCTTTGATGTATTTACAGTTTTACTTAAAGTACAGCATGGATGGTAGCACTTTGGAAAAGTATATTCCTTGGTTGAAAAATATTAACTTACAATAGCTAGCTAAGGGACAATGTGTAGGTATATCGATCACTTGACTTCTTTTTTTCCCTACTGTGAATTCATTGTGAGTTGTCAATTTTTTATAATGGTCCTCTTTTTGTTACACCTTTTGATTGCTGATTGTCTCATAACTGAATAGGGACTACAAGTATATTTATTTCACTCACACAAACAAATAGAACTTCAGGCAAATTTTCATTTAAAAGAAAAACAAACCCTCTTGAGGGAACAAACACCTTTCTTTCCTAGCTTTCACACAATAAATTAGCAGCAAGGTTTTTTTTAAAAAAGGCAGAAGATCTTAAATCTTTTATGCGATGTAAAGTTTATCCCTTCACTATTATTTTCAGTAGTTTAAGGAAGGGTATTAATTAAGTGGAGTGATAGATGGTCTCGAAACAAGATGATCTCTGATGATCCCAGCTGAATTGCCTGATCGGCAGAGGCTTTTTTTTCTTTTAAAAACATTTTAAAAAATGCTTTTAAAAGCCTTTGCCGATCAGGCAACTCTGCTGGGATCGTCAGAGGTTTTTAAAAGCATTTTTTTCTACAACCCCTTTGGCCGAAGAGGTTGTAGAAAAAGTGCTTTTAAAAGCCTCTGATGATCCCAGCTGATCTGCGCGATCATCAGAGGCTTTTTTTTTTACTTTTAAAAGCATTTTTTCAGCCGAAGAGGTTATAGAAAAAATGCTTTTAAAAATTAAAAAAAAAAGCCTGATGATTGCGCGGCTCAGCTGGGCATGGGGGTGGGGGTGGCAGGGATTTTTGCTACCGGTTTTTCCGAACCACCCGCCTCCATCACTACCGGGTCGGGTGATCCGGTCTGAACCGGGATCATTTCACCCCTGCATTAGCCCCCTAGAAAGATATTGAGAATTAATCAAACAGTAGTTGCAAACGAAATATGAGTCTCCAGCATTCTTATTAAGAGTTGTAACATTATTAAATTTTATATATTGTAGTTATTACCACAACATATTTTTAGTTTGAGAAAGGAGTATTTATTAATATATCAAAATGATTTGCCAAAAGCAGAAAAATATTCAAACATGATACAGATTTCTTTCCTAAAGCATCCAAATAACTAAATAATAATTATGGGGAAGCATTTTAAATTTATTTCAATATGTCTTCTTTTTTTTTTTTTTTATTTATTTATTTATTTTATATTTATTTATTTATTTATTTATTTATTTATTTATTTCATTTCATTTCATTTCATTTCATTTCATTTCATTTCATTTCATTTCATTTCATTTCATTTCTATACTGCCCTGATAAAAATAATACCAACACAAAAATTAAAAACAATTTAAAATAATTTAAAGCATTGGGCATATTTAAAACCCCTAACTAAAACCCCTTTAAAACCATTTAAAGCCCACTTAAGTTAATTCATTCGGTCAGGCCGGCTTGCTGAAACAATAAAGTCTTCAGCGCACGACGGAAGATGCGGAGGTCAGGGATCCTCCTTACGTCCGGGGGCATCTCATTCCATAGGGCAGGAGCCCCCACAGAGAAGGCTCTCCCCCTGGGGGTTGCCAACATTGTTTGGCCAACAGCACCTTGAGAAGGCTCTCTCTGTGGGAGCGAATCAGGCGGTGGGAGGTATGCGGTGTCAGAAGGCGGTCCTGTAAATATCCCGGTCCTAAGTCATGGAGTGCTTTGAAGATGGTGACTAGCACCTTGACCAGTGGGAGCCAGTGCAGCTTGTGCAAGAGAGGTGTTACATGGGAGCGACAAGTCGCCCCCATAACCACTTGCGTGGCCGCGTTCTGGACCAGTTGGAGCCTCCGGGTGCTCCTCAAGGGAAGCCCCATGTAGAGAGCATTACAGTAGTCCAGACAGGAAGTGACAAGGGCGTGCGTGACCGTGCGTAAGGCGTCCCGATCCAGAAAGGGACGCAACTGGGAAATCAGGCAAACCTGATAAAAAGCCCCCCTGACCACGGCCATCATATGATCGTCTAAAGACAGCCACGTATCCAGGAGGACACCCAAATTGCCAGCCCTCTCTGAGGGGGGTAAGATCTCATCCCCAGTAGCCAGCGATGGTACCAGCTGGCTATATCGGGGTGCCGGAAACCACAGCCACTCAGTCTTGGAGGGGTTGAGTCTGAGCCTGTTCCTCCCCATCCAGATCCGCACGGCCTCCAGGCATTGGGACATCACGTCAAGGGCATCATTGGGGTGGTCCGGGATAGAAATGTACAACTGCATGTTGTCGGCATATAGTTGACATTTCACCCCAAAACCACGGATGATCTCACCCAGCGGCTTCACATAAATGTTGAACAGGAGGGGCAAGAGGACTGACCCTTGCGGCACCCCACAAGTAAGGTGCCTCGAGGTCAACCTCTGCCCACCCCCGTCAACACAGACTGCGTATGGTCGGAGAGAAAGGAGGAGAACCACCACAACACAGTGCCTCCCACTCCCCGTTCCCCCAACCGACGCAGCATGATCCTATGATCGATGGTATCAAAGGCCGCTGAGAGATCTAGGAGGACCAGGACTGAGGAGCTTCCCCTGTCCCAAGCCCTCCAGAGATCATCAACCAATGCGATCAATGCCGTTTCCATGCTGTAACCTGTCCTGAAGCCCGACTGGCATGGATCTAGATAGACAGCTTCATCCAGGTATTGAGGAAGCTGTCGCGCCACCACACTCTCAAAACTTTCGCCGCGAAGCAGAGGTTGGAGACCGGATGGTAGTTAGCTAATATAGCCGGGTCCAGGGAAGGCTTCTTGAGGAGGGGCCTCACCACCGCTTCTTTCAAAGCGGCTGGGAAGACACCCTCACTCAAAGAAGCATTAATAATCCCCTGAAACCAGCATCGTGTAACCTCCCGGGAGGCCAGCACCAACCAGGAGGGACATGGGTCCAATAAACATGTGGTAGCATTGAGTCTCCCCAAAATCCTGTCCACGTCCTCAGGAGCCACAGGGTCAAACTTCTCCCAGATAACACTCTCAAGATCCGCCCCTATCATCCCATCCGAGGCTACCCAATCTGAGTCCAGACCGTCCCGAATCTGAGCGATTTTATCATGCAGATGTTGCACAAAATCCTCAGCTCTACCCTGCAAGGGATCATCCCGCGCTCCCATCTGAAGTAGGGAGCGGGTCACCCTAAACAGGGCGGCTGGGCAGCTCTCTGCAGATGCAATAAGAGCGGGAAAATAATTAGATTTCACCACTCTTATTGCCACTAGGTAGGACTTGATATAAGCCCTCACCAGTGTCCGGTCGGATTAAGTGCGGCTGGCCCTCCAATCACTCTCTAGGTGACTTTTCCAGCACTTCATCTCTCTCAGCTCCTCGGAAAACCAAGGAGCTGAATGAGATCTGCACCGGGTCAGAGGCCGCAAAGTCACGACGCGATCCAAAGCTCCAGCAGCCGCCCTATCCCAGGCGGCTACCAGTTCTTCAGCCGACTCATGAGTCAGAGCCTCTGGGAATGGCCCAAGCTCCATCAGGAACCTGTCCGGGTCCCTCAGGCGCCTGGGACGGAACCACCTGGTCGGTTCCATCTGCCTGCACAAAGGGGAGCGGACTGAAAGTCTAACCGAAGGAGTGAATGATCTGTCCATGACAAGGGCTTGATGACTAACTCAGGGAGTTGACTAGAGACTGGATCCAGGCAATTGTCAACGCTTCGTTGAGAGAGGGGAACTTCCCCGCCTCTCTTAAGGAGGTGGTGGTTCGACCTCTCCTCAAGAAGCCTTCCCTGGATCCAGACTCACTTAATAACTATCGTCCTGTCTCCAACCTTCGCTTCATCGCAAAGGTTGTTGAGACTGTATCGGCGCAACAGCTCCCACAATTCCTGGAGGAAATGGAATACCTTGACCCATACCAATCAGGCTTCCGACACGGTCACAGCACGGAAACGGCATTGGTCACTCTGGTGAATGATCTCTGGCAGGCTCGGGATGGGGGTTGTTCCTCCATCCTGGTCCTACTTGACCTCTCAGCGGCTTTTGATACCATCGACCATGGTATCCTACTGCAGCGACTTGTGGGGTTAGGGGTGGGAGGCACTGTCTTACGGTGGTTTTCCTCCTATCTCTCAGGTCGCTTTCAGTTTGTATAGGCGGGAGGGCAGAGATCCACCCCGAGGCCCCTTAATTGTGGGGTGCCTCAGGGGTCAGTTCTCTCCCCCCTGCTCTTTAACATCTATATGAAGTCACTGGGTGAGATCATTCGTGGCTTTGGGATGAGATATCATCAATATGCTGATGATACCCAATTATACATCTCCACCCCAGACCACCCCAGAGATGCCCTTTCCGTGATGTCCCGTTGCCTGGAGGAGGTATGGGCCTGGATGGGCAAAAACAGACTCAAACTCAATCCCTCTAAGACTGAGTGGCTGTGGATGCCGGCATCTCGGGTTTCAGAAGCACCATCACTTTTGATAGGGAAAAACTTGCACCTGTTGATAGGGCTCGCAACTTGGGTGTCCTCCTGGATGCTCGGCTGTCCCTAGAAGACCATCTAGCGGCCGTGACCAGGGGGGCCTTCGCACAGGTTCGCCTGGTGCGCCAGTTGCACTCTTTCCTGGACCGAGATGACCTTCGCACAGTCACTCATGTCCTGGTTACTTCCCGCTTGGATTACTGCAATTCCCTCTACATGGGCCTGTCCCTGAGATGCACCCGGACACTCCAGCTGATCCAGAATGCAGCTGCACGGGTTGTTACGGGAGCCCCTCGTTACTCCCATATAACACACCTCCTGCGTGAGCTGTACTGGTTACCAGTGGTTCTCCGGGTCCGCTTCAAGGTGCTAGTCCTCACCTATAAGGCCCTGCATGACTTAGGTCTGGGATATTTATTTATTTACTTATTTATTTTATTGAATTTCTATACCGCCCTACTCCCGAAGGACTCAGGGCGGTGAACAGCCATGAAATAAAACACATACATATACAAAATTTAAAATCGAATAAAATGAATTAAATAAATTTGGCTGAATTGATACCCATAATTTAAAATACCCATATTTTAAAATACAGTAAAATTTTAAAATTTACACTTAAAAGGGAGAAGATTTAGGCGAGGCCAGCTTGATGAAATAAAAGAGTCTTCAGCTCGCGGCGGAAGGTGCGCAGATCCGGAATCCTCCGTATGTCTGGGGGGAGCTCATTCCAGATCGTCGGTGCCCCCACAGAGAAAGTTCTCCCCGTAGGGGCCGACAGCCGACATTGTTTGGCCGACGGCACCTGGAGGAGCCCCTCTCTGTGGGAGCGTACTGGTCGGTGGGAGGCTATTGATGGTAGTAGGCGGTCCCGTAAGTAACCAGGTCCTAAGCCATGGAGCGCTTTAAAGGTGGTAACCAGAACCTTGAAGCGCACCCGGAAGACCACCGGGAGCCAGTGCAGCTCACGCAGGAGAGGTGTTACATGGGAGCTCCACACTGCTCCCATAACCACCCGCGCGGCCGCACTCTGCGCCAGTTGGAGCCTCCGGGTGCACCTCAAGGGGAGCCCCATGTAGAGAGCGTTACAATAGTCCAGACGAGAGGTGACGAGGGCGTGAGTGACTGTGCGTAACGAGTCCCGATCTAGAAAGGGACGCAACTGGCGAATCAGGCGAACCTGATGAAAAATCCTCCCAGTCATGGCCATCAAGTGCTCTTCTAAAGACAGCCGTGAATCCAGGAGGACGCCCAAGTTACGAGCCCTTTCCGTGGGGACCAATGATTCGCCCCCAATTTGCATGACCTTCTCCTGCCTGCCTCTCACCTTCCTGTTCGTTCACATAGGACCGCTCTCCTCAGGGTTCCGACGGCGAGCCAATGTCGCCTTGCTGTGCCCAGGGGTAGGGCATTCTCTGTGGGTGCTCCCACCCTCTGGAATGAATTACCTACTGAGCTCCGGACGGCTCCTGATCTCTGTTCCTTCCGTCGGGACTTGAAGACTTGGCTTTTCAAACAAATAGGCTACTCTGATTCCGGGTTTTATTATTTACTATTAATTAATTACTTGGATTAAATTATGATTTTATTGTACTTGTTTCTTAACTTGTGTTCGCCGCCCTGAGTCCTTTGGGAGAATGGCGGCATATAAATACATGTAATAAATAAATAATAAATAAACTCCCCTAATTCGAGATCATTCATCCACTGACCAGAGGCAAAAATCAAGTCCAGTGCGTGTCCCCCGATGTGGGTGGGGTCATGAACTAACTGGGTCAGGTCCATGGCCGTCATGGAAGCCACGAACTCCCGAGCTGCTTCTGACGTTTCACCGACAGATGGCAGGTTGAACTCCCCCATGACCATAAGTCTGTATGTTTATATTGTTTTAAGAAAATAAGTATTTTTTAACTGAACAGTAATAAGAGTCTTTTTATTGTTACAATATAGTAATCTATTTTTTTTTCCTCTGCAGAAATTTGAAAGGTGTGATTGTTACACTGAGTGATAGTGGCTATCTACAATGTTCTTACCTTGGTACTGATCCTTCTTTATTTCAAGCTCCTAAAGTTGAAGCTAGGAATATTAATTATGCAGAATATGATGTAGAAATGAATAAACTTCAGAAAATCATTAAAGAAGCCCAGAAAATTAAAGGTAATTTTCATTTTTTTTTAAAAAATATTTTAAATAGTGAAGGTAGTCTAGATGGAAGTGTTTTACAGTCTTAGTCAAATTCTTCAAATGTGCCTACTTTCAGATAAAGAGAGCTGAAACTGAAAAGATGGGAGTAGGTTTACAACTTCCAGCCAAGCTATATTCACCTCTCTTTTAGGCCAGCTCCCCAATTCCCGGGCCATGGCCCACAATCAAATGGAACTGTAGCGCTTGCGCCTACCATTCACAAGGAAATATCCCCTCTACCCCCCACCCCCTGCTGTGCCATCAAGCCAGAACAGTTAGGGATCGCTGTTTTAGGCAACTAGGATATTGTGTGTGTCATGAATATATGGGACTTAACCTTAAATTGAAGTTCCACATCTTGCAAATGTATACAACTGGTCTGTATTATTTTTATTGGGATAATTAGCTAAATTTGCTAATTCCTTAAATCTTTCAGATATCCTGCCTAAGTCTGAAAAAAGTGAAGATTTTGCACTTGGTGTGACAGTCTTGCCTGATCTGGATACAGTTTCTGTATGTAAATTTGAATGCTGAATTTAGATATAACAATTACAATAGTGCTTTTTAAATCTGGGTAAAAGTTGTTTTGCTTTGGATACTTACTTACACAGAAATCCATTACTCAATCACAACAGGGACATTTCAATTTACTTAAAGTGCTTTACATATGTTGGGCAAAAAGAACTTTCTGATAAGCAGCTTTGGATAATGAAAGAAAAAGTTTGAGAAGCACTGAATTACAGGTTTCAAAAACATGTTAATTATTTAGATATAAATGTGTGTATTAAGTATTTAATTTGTCTATATGAACTCATTTGTATATAGAATTAGCTGTGCCTTTAGATTTGTATATAGTGACACATATTCTTAAAGCAGAACAGTTTCTATTTAGATGTTTAAGATGAAAAATATTTAGTGCAGCTGCAGTCCCAAAGTGGGTAGTCCTGCTTTGTTTGTGATGCCTTTATTACTGAATGGATCTGTTTTCTCCATCCATTGAAGTTTGGAGAAAAATATTGGAAAAAGCAGCTAGTTGTAGGTGAAATTACACTTTCTTGAGATAACAGACTGGCACTGGTGGTGCGGATTTGTCCCATCTTCCGCTGCATAGGGCAGGGGAGAGGTTTTCATTTGTTCAACAGTGGCAAAAATATTACAATAGAAATCAGCCATAGCAAAACTAAAATTCTGATTTTTGCAAAGAGATCTAAACAGTATGCTTGGAGGGTAAATGGCCAGAATATTGAACAAGTACAAATCTTTATATATTTAGGCATGATTTTTCACAGCTCCACTAAATGCAATGCACTTCAAAACTACGACATACAAAATGCTAAAAAAGCGAAAACCAGTTATCACAATCCAATAACTTCTATTTCACTAGAGTATCAGCAGTACTGAAAGTATTTTCAGCTAAGGCTTGGCTTGCACACATCTCTGGTATTCAGGCAGGAATTTCTAAGATCAAAACAGATGCATTGATGTGCATCATAGCACACAGTCTGAAATTATTGTTGTTTCTCCCAATTGTGAGCTCTTTCATTATAGAAGATAATTGCAAATCAACATGGATTAGGATTGTTTCACAAAAACTCCAACATCTAGACCAGGGGTGTCAAGCTCAATTCAATTCAATTCAATTCAATTCAATTCAATTCAATTTAATTTAATTAATTTAATTAATTTAATTAATTTAATTATTTAATTTAATTTAATTTAATTTAATAATTTAATTTTTTAATTTAATAATAAATTAAATTAAATTAATAAATTAATAAATTAAATTAAATTATTAAATTAAATTAAATTAAATTAAATTAAATTAAATTATTAAATTAAATTAAATTAAATTAAATTAAATTAAATTAAATTAAATTATTAATATGCTGCCCCTCTCCGAAGACTCAGGCTCATTGAGGGTGGCATCAAAGTTGTGTTTGACCTTGGAGGGGGTGAGGGGGGGCATGGCCAGGATGGTCATGGCCAGCTCGTTGTTACTCATGTCAGCGCCTGTAGTGGCCCAACTGCTCTGCCAGCGAAAGCAGATTCCCGAGCTCCGTTTTTGGCTGTGACGGCCTCCTGCAGCCCTCTGAGAATGAAAACGGAGCTTTGGAGGGCTGCACGTGGCCCTCATGAGTTCCGTTTTTGGCTGTGATGGCTTCCTACAATCCTTTGTCAGCAAAAACTGAGCTTGGGAGGGCTGCATGCGATCCTCCCAAGCTCCATTTTTGCTGGCAGAGGCACCACGGGCTGGTCCTTCACTGTTTCTAGGACAGCCCCACAAGCCAGATCTTAGCACCCCGCAGGCCAGATCTGGCCTCCAGGCCTTGAGTTTGACACCCCTGATCTAGACCTTTCCAAGGAAGAGTTCCTACTGATGGGCTATGAATGTGCATTCAGTGCATTTAAACAAAGATTGGAAGTCCAAGAGAACCTGTCTGCTCTACCCAAGATCGTTTTTTTGAGCAGTCATATTCCCTTTCATAAACCAGTGAGATAACTCTTTCTGAATTGAAGAGGGTACTACCTTTAATCTTTATAATGCCCTTTTTATAGTACCTCTGGAGGACCAATCCAAAATAGTCATCAAAGACCCACACGAGCTGAAATTGAGCCATTGAAACCCCAGCTAATATACTGTACCCTCTATAAGGATTCATGGACTCATTTTATAACTACCCTGGTAAAATATCTGGGAAATTCTGATCTCTTTTATCTACAGCTGTTTCTGTCGGATCAGTACGAAACAATCCTTGAACATAGCTACATTCTGATATATTATCTGTAAAATTAGGCAGAATTTGGCCACCCATCAATAATCTCACCATAACTGTAATGTAGGTACTAGATCTTGTTCTGTTTCATTTTATTTTAATGTTTTAATTTTTAATTCTGACTTGTGACCATAGTAAACATTTGATTGATTGATTGATTGATTGATTGATTGATTGATTGATATATTCAGTTCAAATATTCTGTTCAAATGGCAAGTTGATAAAGGCATACAATGGTAAAAGTTTGTGAATCCTTTTGAATTTTCAACATTTCTGCGTAAATATAACATAAAATGTGATCTGTTCTCTATATAAATCCTAAACCTAGATAAAGAGAACTCAATTAAACAAATGAAACAAAATGATGATGGTGATAATAATAATGAGGTGTGAGTGTCAAAGGTCTTGCCTTATTTAAAGAACAGAATTCTGGATATTCACTATCAAAGTATGATCTTCTCAATATAGTTATATGGAAATGTGTGATAGGTTGAAGAAAGATTTATGAGGATGACTGAAAAGAAGTTATTGATACACATCAGGCTGGAAATCTTATAAAACTATTTCCAAAGATTTTGGACTCCACCAGTCCAATTTTGTACAGGCAGATTTTGTACAAATTGAGGCAATTCAGTACCTTATTTACTCAACAAGACCACACCAAGAGAAAGGTGATATTCTGGGGAGCCTCAAAGAAGCCTAGGGTAATGTCTAAGAAGCTAAAGGCCTCTCTTGCATTCCTGAATCTCAAAGTCCATGAGCGCTTAGGAGAACCCTGAACAATGATATGTATGGCAGGATTGAAAGGAGAAGGTCACTACTCTTGAAAAAGAACATTGCTACTTATCTATAGTTTGCAAAAGACCATCTGGATAAGCCAGAAGCCTATTGGAAGAAAGGGCTATGAATGATAAGATGTTTTTGGCTTGAATGAAAAGCAGCATGTTTAGCAAAAGACAATCTCTCTCTCTCTCTCTCTCTCTCTCTCTCTCTCTCTCTCTCTCTCTTCCTCCCTCCCACTGTCCCTCTCTCTCCATCCAATTTCTCCTACAGGACCTAACACTTCTCTAGTTTCTTATATTCCTTCTTCCTCATGCTGCTATAATTTGGCATAATTACATCTATCACCACTGTTGTATTCTGCTCTTTGTCTACTATCTCAAGCAGGTTGATTGGCCAGTACCCAGCATCCATGGCAGTGACTGACACTCACCAGACCCTGATCGCCATCTTTCCTTCTGATGTATAATTTCTGAGTGTTAGATTTGGAGTTGAAACCTCCAGGTTTTCACACTGGCTGTTTCCATGTCCTTTGGGCAGCTCATTATACCTGCAGGGTGTCTAATAACAGGCAAAGAATGCACTTTTGTAAATACATTTGGATCATTTCCCTCAATAAAGGAATAGGGATAGGGATGGGAATGGAATGGAATGAAATGGAATAGAATAGGAAGGGACCTTGGAGGTCTTCTAGTCCAGCCCCCTGCTCAAGCAGGAGAACCTATACCATTTCAGATAACTGACTGTCTACTCTGGGGGGAGGGGTGGTCAAACTCAATTTCATTGAGGGCTGCATCAGGGTTCTGTTTGACCTTGGGGGGCTGGGTTGGGCGTGGCCTGGGTGGGTGTGGCCAGCTTGATGTCACTCATGTCTGAGGTGCCTGTGGGGGCCTGAACTCTCTGCCAGTGAAAACAGAGCTTGGGAGGGCCTTCCTGGGTTCTGTTTTTGCTGGCAGAGGGTTGCAGGAGGCTGTTGCAGCCAAAAATGGAGCTCAGGAGGGCTGGGTGTGATCCTCACGAACTCCACTTTTGCTAGCAGAGGCACTGTGGGCCAATCCTTCACGGTTTCCAGGGCAGCCTCGTGGGCCAAATCTAAGCACCCTGCAGGCCGGATCTAGCCCATGGACCTTGAGTTTGATACCCCTGGTCTAGTCTCTTCTTAAAAACCTCCAGTAATGGAACATTTCTGAAGGCAAGCTGTTCCATTAGTTAATTGTGCTTACTGTTAGGAAGTTTCACCTTAATTCCAGGATGCTTCTCTCTTTGATTAGCTTCCAACCATTGTTTCTTGACCAGCCCTCAGGTGCTTTAGTTGCTCTTCTCTGAACTTTTTCCAAAGTCTCTTTTTTGGAGTATAGTGACCAAAATTCCATGTGTGGTCCTACTAGGGTTTTATAAAGTGACACTAATATTTCATGTGATCTTGATTCTAATATGCCTCTGTTTATACTGTCAACCCTTAAGCAGACATGACTGAAGCTATCTTGGAGCTTTAGTGTTGCTACACTGGAGCTGAGGGATAGGGAGGGGGAATTAGATATAGCTGTGGTTTGGTAGCCGAAATAAAATACTTTCTCTTGGGAACCAAGGATATTCTCACACCTGGCCTGAGAAAGGGGGAGTGATGTCATCAGGCAACCAGACAGTGCCTTGATTGGACCATGTGACTGATTATTTGGGGTTGAGGGAAAACTTTTACTTTTATGTTTTTTTTTATTAAAAATTTATAAATTTTATTAAAACACAAATTAGACATTTACACAACATACGACATATAAATAAATAGCATATCCTTTTTAAGCATTGTTTCATAGTGGTTTTCCATCTGATACTTTATATTTCTTCCCATTTTTCTTAACCTAATACATTTTCCCCCTCCTCCTATTCTTCTTTTCTTTTTTTTTCTTTTTCCCCTCCTTGTCTTTCCCGCTATAGAGATCTATATATTTTGATTATATC